CACACCTGGAAAACACGGAATACCCAGCTTATATAAATAATCCGTTTGAGTCACGAGATCATCACCGCGGAACTGCTGGCAACGTTGACTACCATTTAAATAGGTGTTTTAAGACATCTAATCATGACTAATTATTCACACCTAAAAGTCACGTATGCCCAGCTTAGATTAATATTCCGTTTAAGTCACGAGATAATCACCGCGGAACTGCTGGCAACTTTGACGACCATTTAAATAGGTGTTTTAAGACACCTAATAATTACTAATTTTTCACACCTAAAAGTCACGTATGCCCAGCTTAGATTAATATTCCATTTGAGTCACGAGATTATCACCGCGGAACTGCTGGCAACTTTGACTACCATTTTAATAGGTGTTTTAAGACGCCTAATAATTACTAATTTTTCACACCTACATATCACGGATTCACAGCTTAGATAAGTAATCAGCTTGAGCCACGTGATCATAACCAAGAAATTTATGGTAACTTTGAAACCATTTAAAGAGGTGTGTAAGACACCTCCGAATTACTAATTTAATATAACCAGAGATTCACGGACAGAACAATAAGACGATTAGCTGGTGTAAGTAACGTGATTATTACCATCAACCTTGGATAACCTGTGAAACCAATCGATAAAGGTGCTTACAAGACCAGATAATTACGTATTTATCGCCACCATCGGTTAACGGACAAAAAACTCGTTGCTTGGTCAAGTGGTTATTTGGTCATAAACACTTTATTTACAGAGGTAAGTGGAATCACGTAACTCCAGTCGCGTGATAAACTGGTGGTTTTTAGGTTAGATGAAAACGTGAACAGGAATACCTTTTTTGTTTAAATAAAGGCACGTGTCGATAACGTTTAAATCTAGTTCAAAAGGCACTATACTTTAAAATCACTTAAAATACACTCCCAATTAAAAGAGGTTACTTTTTAGTGTTCTGTTTATTGGGTACTGTTCCTTTTTTATTTTGGTACTATTATTCTATCTTTTTTAATTTTTTGTTGTTGGTCAAATTGTATTTCATCCACATGTATACCAGGTTTAAACAAAGAAAAGGAAAGGCAGGAAATCTGCAAGTCTCCTGTCGGAAGAGATTTTGTAGGATGAATTTCTAATTGGGATGCATAAATACAGTAACACCGATGTTGGCTCATATCATATTACGAGATACATGTATACTAGATAAATTGCACAAAAATGTCATATAGAATAATCTTTACTTAACATTTTGAACATGTATTATATTGAACAAATTTGTTGATTATGTCATTAAAATACAATTGTATAATGTGTTATTAATTTGCAGAGCCATTTTACGCATTGTTTTAAAGATATGAAATATGTTGATGTTGAAGTAATGCATTTATGAAAATATAAAGTACTCTAAACAATATAAAAGTTGTCTCCTGTCCTGTTTTTCTTTTATACTGCATGTTTTTTAATATAAATGAATTAATTTGTTAAACTATTGGCATGGCACACACTTTAATAGGGCTTTGGCCAGCATCTTTTACCAGAATACCCACTTTCCAGTTTCTATGTTTTGCAAGCAATCAAATGTTTGGACACTTAACATCGTCATCGACTCTGCATGAATTTTGTATTCGTTTTAGGAATCTGAACTGTAATTTAGTTATGGGAACATATAGGGGCAGGGCAACTATGAACTAAATAGAATGAAACAAACGAGATCATTCAACTCAATTGATGCATATTTTTTTCCCTTAAAAGTGAACTGCCAATTTATTTCATTACAAGTAATATTTTGGCCTTATAGGGTCAGCGTTTTCATCTACATATCTCCCTCTCTCTCTCTCTCTCTCTCCCTCTCTCCCTCTATCTACCTACCTACCTATTTATCTACACTGTTGGTCATAATGGTGGAATAAATATTTTTACCCCGATTTATGGAAAGATTTTAACAAAGATTTATTCCCACTAGATCTAGATAATAGTATACATTCTCAGATCTACTAGGGGACCTACGTCATTAAGCCATAACTGACAGTAATGAGGAGTAATGCCCCATAAAAGGGCACAAATATAGCACATCCACATGGTTTTGATCCTGGGGCATCACAGTTACGAGGCCGTCGCTTACCCACTGATTCATGACTGTACGCAACGTGGGCTAGGGTACGTGGCCGCCCCCACAAATACAAAAAACAAAGAAAATGCAATAAATTATCAATAATTAATTGCATTTTGCCCAGACCCTCAATGTACTATAATGCCTGGCCCTACAGAGGCATTTTTCCCGTTGGGGGCCGGGGGAAAATGCTATGAAAAATTGATAATTTATTGCATTTTCTTTGTTTTTTGGTATTTGTGGGGGCGGCAACGTACCCAAGCCCCCGCTGCGCACAGTCATAATTCAGTGGCTAAGCAATAGCCTTGTTACTGTGAGGCCCCAGAATAAAAAAAAACGTGTCGATCAGCTATATTAGTGCCCTTTTGTGAGGCAGTAATCCTCATTACCGTCAGTTATTAATTAAGGACGTAGGTCCCCTAGTTGATTAGCATATTAGCACACACATGCTTTTAGATGTCACGTATAATAAACACTCGAAAATTATGATTCAATAAAATCTGAGAACGTACACTTTTATTTATATCTGTTAGGAATAAATCATTGTCAAAATCATTCCATAAATTGGGGTAAAAATAATTATTCCACCATTATGACCAACAGTGTATATACCTACCTATTCATCTATCTGTCTTTATATACAGTCAACTAGATTATTCATACCCTCACCAACTTTTGTCATTTTTAAGTATTTGAAAAATTGTATTAGCCCCAATTTATGTTTCTTTTCTTTTCTCCACTCTATTATTTCTCACTCTCCATTCCTCCTTCTCTGTCTCTCACCCCCCCCCCCCCCCGAGTTTCCTCGTGCTCTCTGTGTCTTTGTCTCTCTTTAGCTCTCTATAGCTCTCCTTCCTTACTAGTTACTTTTCTCTCTCTCCCCCGTTCCTTCCCTTTTATGCACCACCAACAATTCTCCCTCTATACCCCCCCCCCCATTTGTCTGCGTCTCTCAGTTTCGTGAGCTCTCTCTCTCTCTCTATCTCTCTCTTTCCCTTTCTCCCCTCTTCCTCTATCTACCTACCGGTACCTGAATGGTTTATAACAGAGCACTAAACGTATGTGTACTTCAGAGGGCATTTAAATTATCTTGGCAATTAATTTTTCTTTGACTCAATCCACCATTATCGCAAAGTTTTAGAAGTATGTTTACAACGCATTTATTTATTTATATAGCTAGGTAGATAGATAAATACATATAGATAGATAGATAGCCTATTTGATAGATAGATAGGTGAATTGAGGGAAAGAGAGAGGAGAGAGACAGAGAGCGAGAGAGAGAGAGAGAGAAAGATGAGGAAACTTGTGCCGTTCAGCCCAAGATAATACTTGTAATGAAATATATTGGCAGTAAACTTTGAATTTATTGAAAATGATCCAATTGGATTGAATGATCTCTTGTTTGTCTCATTCCCTTCAAGTTTTAAACAAGCCACGTATTTCTGAGCACGACGATGGCAGATAAATTAAAGGTCAAGTTTTTAGCACACCGGTTTACAAGTGATTTCACGCAGATTTCCGATCAGAACTTAGAAAATGTAAACATTCCAGTTCAAATCAAAGGGTAATGCATGCGTACTCACTTCAGCTCCAAGCTCGTTGTTATATATATATATATATATTTATCTAATTACATATCCATCTTTCTTTCTATATCTCTTTCTCGCGTCCGCCTAGTTTATGGGCTTGTTAGAAACAAATTGAAATAAAAAGATTATGGTGTATAATATAACTTTTTTCTTTCTGTCTGTCTATTAATTTCTATCTAGCTCTCTCTTTCTCAACGTCTCTCGCTCTCTCTCTCTCTCTCTCTCTCTCTCTCTCTCTGTCTATATATATATATATATCACTCTTTCCCTCAATTCACCTATCTATCTATCAACTAGGCTATCTATCTATCCATATATGTATCTATGTATCTACCTAGGTAAGCTATCTATATATCTAGCTAATTATATATCCATCTTTCTTTCTATATATCTCTTTTTCGCGTCCGCCATGTTTATGGGCTCGTTAGAAACAATTTTAAACGAAATACCTATGGTTTATACATAAATATATATATGCATATATATATATATATATATATATCTGCAAGATATCTTCAAATTAAAACAATCGTCTCAAATAGACGAGTACTGTAGTTTATAAATATCCAATGAATTATCTCTGAATTTGGGTTTGCCCGTACGTGGGTTGTGATTCCTTCTCTGCCCCTGTCTCGATCCTTCTCTTCCACCTCTCCCTCTCTCTCTCTCTCTCTCTCTCTCTCTCTCTCACACTCTCTCTCTTTCTCTCTCTATTCTTTATCTCTATTTTCTCGTTTTTCTTCTTCTCTCTCTCTCTTTTATTTTCTCTCTCTTATAACTTAGCGGACTAAGCGGACACGTTTTTTTTTTTTTTTGGTAGTCCAAAAAAAAATCGCAACGACTCAGCCAACCCAAAAGTCGCTCAGTGGGGGGGGTAAGAGGACACTTTTTTTTTTTTTTTTTGGTACCGAAATTTGAAAATTTGACATTTTGCTCCGTTTGGGGGGGGGGGGGGGTAAGGTCATCTTTTTTAAGGTCGGTCATGGGATTTTTTTTTTTTAATTTTTTTTTTTTAATAAAAACAAAAAACAAAAAAACAAAAAAAACAAAAAGGGGAGGGGGGGGGGGGGTTTTAGGGAAATTTAGGGGGGGTTTACACACAAAAAATTACCAAAGGGGGGGGGGGGGTTTTAACCCCCAACCCCCCCCCCCCCCCCCCCTGTGTACGCGCCTGATACTACCAGACAGTAACTATACACTGTTTGATATTTCATACGCCAATCAGAATCAAGCTGATTTTTTCACCAAATGATGCAATATGAAAACACAATTAACATATTCGTCAGAATCCTAGGTATACAGAACTTACAACGAGCTTGACGCTAAGGTGATTACGCGACAACTTGTTTGCATTTTCTTAGTTCTGATCATAAATCCGCTAACAAATTGAACTTTTATCTACCGTCGTCGTGCCTAGTGATGCGTGGAGTGTTTACAGCTTGATGGGTATGTAAGAATAACGTAATTTTCTGAAGTGCATTATACAAATGAAAACTTCAGGAGTACCATAACGAAGTATTATGACGAAGTATAGTCCTATATATGCTATCACTGTGCGAAGGTAAATAGAATACATAGTTTAAAATCTAGCCTTGTTATTCGTTAAACAAGAATAAATACTTTGATTTGAATTTTGTTTTATGAAGGGAGTGATACGAATATCTCAATTATTTGTTATACTTTCAAGGCAGAACTTGTAATGTACATTCTTGTCAAATGACTCTGTCAAACATTCCCTTCACCTCCTAAATATTTACTGCTGTCTACTGCGAGTAGCCAGGATTTTATTTTAGGGGGGCGGTAGTGAGCACGCAAAGCGTGCGAATCAGGAAGGGGGAGTTTTTCCCCTTCCGCGCGAAGCGCGAAAGCTTTGACGTTTCATTAGATTACTAGAGAAAGAAGGCGATTTGTTGTACCGTTCTCGACTCTTAATCCTTTTTCTTCCTACGTCTTCCTTTCTTCTTTCTCTCTCTTTTTTTTTTTTTTTTTTTTTTGGGCCAGCGTTATTTTTTTTTGGGGGGGGGGGAGGGGGAGGGGGCACTGCCCCCACCGCCCCCTGGCTACGCGCCTGACTTGTATAATTGGTAGCACATAGGCATCTCACAGACATTTCTTTCACTTCTTTCAATATTGTTTACCTCTTGGCAAACATTTTTCCTTTTACTTGTTTTATGTAAGATCTGATTATTGTTTACATTTGTATGTTTATGGGGACCCTATCTAGCTTATTGCCTTATGTTTATTTATGAAATGTAATTTCATTCTGTATCCTGTTGATCGAGTACTATTATTATTATTTGAACAAAATCTAATCTTATATCCGAGTACTAAAATAATGTCGGTAATTTTATATTTCAGATTTCAAACATGCTGTTTTCATGGTCAACGCAGACGATACGGAAAGCTGAAATATAAGACTGTTCATCTATTTTGAAGGAAAAAGGTGATTCAGTAGCTACTGCCAAATCTTTTGTTACTGAGAGAATAACATCATCGTCTAAGCTGCAAGGACTTACACAGACAAAAAAGTACAAAGGGCGCTTGTTATTTTCATTTGTAATCGTGAAGAAATTGTACCAGATGTTGGATCCCGTGCAAAGTTTAACCAGATTAATCGCGACCGTTATCATTACTTTACTCGTGTCACGATCGAGGGACGTGATCAATTTCACTTTAATGCAGTTTTGAAGCAAATTGAAAGTCCAGGTTTGATGAAAAGACTCAGTGACTGACAGATCGATCCTGAACAGTTAGACAAACTCGCAGTGAAACTTAATATTTTCGTCCGAGTCATGAACAGTAATTTCTTTTACAAGTCTTCAGAAGGTTTGTCATAAAATGGGCGTTGTCATCATTTTGCTTATTTTACTTGCATTCACAATTGGTGATACTAAAGTTCTAACTGTCTTGGAGGGAGACAACACACAACTTGAATTTAGTTACCCTTGTGACAACGCACGCGTCACTTTACGAAATGGGCACAGACCTATTTTTTATGATTCAGCTAATCCAGAGTCCGTGCCATTGCCCGAGAATCGAGACCTTGTTTTTCAAAGTGAAACTGAGACCAACAACTGTCTTCTCCAACTTAAAATCAACCCTGTCCTAAGGTCTGATGGAGGGGGATATATTCTCACTGTATATGATGGTGAAGGAAATATTCTAGAGGATCCAAGAGTTGGTTTGAGGGTTGATTATCCACCGGGTAAGGCGTCTTGCGAGTGGGGAGAGGAGAATGTTGTCGATGACTGGAGATCCATGCTGTGCAAGGCTCCTGCAGGGAGTATGTCAGGGCAAATTGCTTGCTATCAACAAGGAGTTCGGTTGCCTCCGGTGTCTACACCTACGGAGGTTGGGGATATTCTACAACAGACTATCTGGGTCAGGTATTCTCAAACCTCATACTGCTGTGCTTCTCTTCAAGATCAACTAACCGACAGATGTGCATGTAATGACTTTATATGGGATCCCTTACAAAATGGAACCGTCATCACGGATCCTTGCTCCACGCCTCGGCAAGATTCAACATCGTCCCAAAGTCCCAACGAAGATAACATTTCTTTCCCTACTATCGCCATATTATCCCCAGTATATGAAAGTATTACGGAAAAACCTGTTATGAACAATGCATACATATCACTGCATTCGGCCGTTTTTGTGCTTTTGGTTATCATGACAATCGTTGCCCTGTTCGTGGTTCTTACGATATCGTTTCGAAAGATTTTTAAAAGATATGATTACACGAGTGTATCAACTATAGAAGTGCAACCTTAGGTAGGCGTACAACAGTCATTTTGGGGGTGCAAACAGCCCGAGCTCTTCCATATTCTTTTCAATTATTATTATCATTATAAAAGTACCCTAATTCGTTCTGGCCGGCCCTACCACTGACCCCATTTTCCTTGAATGTTTTGAAATATCAGTAAAGAGAAATTTTAATTCGTTTTTAATGACCAGTTATTTCTTAATACGGTCTTGATGGAGTTCTCTAAATTTCTCTGTTTTTTACGCTATGCAGGGCCCCCAGGTATAACAGTATTTACACTGATGACGGGGCTACCCTGTTGAAATGATATCTGGATCGTACATGTGGTTATACAGATTTTGTTTTTGTTATTTTGCAATGCCATTGATTTCATCAATTTTCTTCCTCTACTTCTTCTGCCTCTTCTTCTTCCACTTCTCTTTCGTCTTCCTCTTCTTCCTCTTTCTTCCCTTCTTCACATTTCCTTCTTATCATTATTATATCTTTTCTTTACTCTTCATTCTATTTTTTTTTTCTTCTCAAATTCACTCTCCTTGTACGTTTCTAGAATCTCATACTATACTACTTCGTTTTTGCCTCCTATAATACCTTTTAAATTAAAACCTACTATATTGTGTTATTCAGTACGGGAGCCTATTCACATACGAGCTATGTTTTTTAAAATTTAGGCTCACCACGTTTTACATTGTTTTACCTTGCATGTCATATCTATATTTTTCGAAGCGTCGTACCTATTTTCCGTACATTATAAATTGTGTCATCTACGCTTGATATACTCTTGTTAAAAAAATATATTTTAAAATCGAAATGGCTTTTTGATGTTAATGTTGAACCATAGAGATATATAACTAACGCCTTATTAAGTATATATCTCTATGTGTTGAACAAATATATAAACTTCAATAAATAAACTTCGAATAAATAAATAGATACATAAATAAGTAAAGGGTAGATGGGAATGAACCAAAAGTAGATGACACACAACAAATAAGTCCTTTGCATACTTACTATCTGTGTAGTGTAAGGTAAAGAAATGTGACGTATACTACGCTTTCACAGAAAAAAAAAGTTTACAGCATCATTAATGTATATGTGAACAAGCATTTAGTTTTCACTACAAAAAGGTCATTATTATGTCGTTCTGTTCAAAAGTTAATGAGATATTGTTTTGTTAAACCACTGGAAATGCACAATTGTTTCCAGGGCTTGGGAAGTCCAGTGTTTCTTTTCCTGATAACCATGCAGCCTTCCAATTTCTTATTTGGCAAGCAAGCAAACAAAAGTCTCACACTTTGATAGCATCATCCATTTTTCATGCTTTGTGTATTCATGTGGAACCTTGTTAAACCTTATAATTCAAAAATATTTATGTACTATTGATAAAAGGCAAAAGTTGCCTCTTCTCTCTTCTCTCTTCATGAAGTGCTGGTTGCTAGTTTATTGGTAGTTTCAAACTATTCAGGGGAAGGGTAAACGACAATGACCTTAAAAAGACAAAATTGAAAGGGTTCATTTACTCAACAGTTTTTATTTTTATTGAGCATGATTTAGATCTGAGTTAACGGGTCAGCTTGTATCGATCTTGCAATTTCTCTGTCACTTTTAATGTCAGATTTTCATTCTCTTTTCTCTCGCTTTCTATTCCTCCTCTGTTTTTCCGCCCCCCCCCCATTCCTCTCCATTGCAACTCATTATCTTTTAGTTTGTGTTTCACCCCATCCCTCTTCACCTACCCACTCTGTATTCTGTATTTGTTTACTCTCTCTCTCTCTCTCTCTCTCTCATTTTTCGTGTGATGTCTGACTCATCTGATCTATCGGCCTATGAGAAATACTTTCTTCTGTCTAATTTATTCACCGACCATAGCTTATTGAGAGAGAGATAGTTGTGACACGCGCACACGAACGCAATCAAAGGTCAAGTCATATTCAAACTGTTCCCTATACAATCTCTCTCTATATATCTGGCTCCATGAAAAGACCTTTGACCGCCTACGTGTGCGCCTTTCACAACTATCTCTCTCAAGACGTTACAATCATTTCGTCGACCATTTGATTTCACGGGGGAAAAAAAGTTTTTTTTTGTTTTTTTTTTGTTTTTGTAGTTTCACATTTTAAATTCGGTTGCACGCTCATGCTCCGGCGAATATCCTACATGAACATAATTCTTAACTTTAACTCTGGACTAAACTCTTAACCCAACCGTAACCCTAAACCTAATATAAAACCCAATTGCATTCATTACCCTAACCCCATCTTGGTGAAATAAACCATGGGAAAATTAATGTTGTCGCTGGAGCATAAGCATTTAAAAGACAAACACTCCAAAAATGCCTTGCATTCTAAGTTCAAACCTTTATAAATATGTATTATAGCCTCACAGTTCTATATTTCTATTTTTCCATCGTTTACAATATTTATAAATATATATGTACAAATTATTTTAATTTGTTTCTTTATTTACTTGTTTAATGTTTGTAATGTGATAATGATTTACGTCTTGTTTTCTGCTTTGTTTGTATTCTGTAATCGCTTTCTTAATTACTATGTTTGTAAGGGGAATCGCTGTGTTTTATCACAAGCCACTGGCTTTTTGATGCGATTTCCCAGGCACAATTTCACTATATATTACATCCTTGTATTTTATTAATTTAATAAATTGAATTGATTAAGTGCGAGTAGCCTTTTTTTATCGTACTGCATGCCTTAATCTATTTCCAAAATTTGGGGTCAAAATATTTTGTTTACGTTATATAAGCCTAACCATTTTTCTGGGGCTAATCAAATAAATAAATAATAAATAAATGATATCAGTTTTAGTTTAATGTATAAATGTATATAATAATTGTAGGTAATTTCGGAAAGAAATGTTGTTATTGATTTGTTTTTATCTACCAACCGATTTGTCTATCTCTCTTTCTCTCTCTCTCTCTCTCTCTCTCTCTCTCTCTCTCTCTCTCTCTATATATATATATATATATATATAAATTGGATAAGGCAGACTAATGGAATAGACCAAATCTAAGTATATATATATATATATATATATATATATATCCATCCTTCCTCCCATCTATCTTCTATATTTGTATGTCTGCGTATCCAGTAATAAATCTAGGACTCGGAGTCAGATTGGTGGGGGGGGGGGGGGAAGGCAAGCGATGGAGTGATCAAGGGGATGGAAAATGGTGTCCCCCTCTCTCGGTGACTGCTTTTTTGATATTTATTATCATTATATTGTATACATGTAAACAAAACTGTTTTATTTTGTATATGTTGTGTTGCTGAAATGTAATTTGATTTGTATGCTGCAGAAGAAATTAAATTAAATTCAATTTCAATTTAAAAAATCGTGCACTTTGGTTTTTATATGTGGTATGCTTCATCGTTTTAAAATAGTCTTTATGATTAAGAAAGGTATGAGTTTTGCTCCATCAAATATAAGCTTAAGATTCAACTCAACATAATCTTTCAACAGTAAATTACTCTTTTTTTTTGTTAAAGTCGCTTACTTGGAGGAAAGAAAATGCTAATTATACTATTGAAACATAAGTCAAATATATTTTAAAAAACACCAGTCTAACGAGTGATGTGTTAAGTGGGAGCATTTCCGATTGGCTTTTGAATACTTTAGTTACGAATTCGTTGGTAGTTATAATGATAATTCTCATAAACAGAGATAGAAACAAGTATGTCAAACACAACCACTACTATCAGTAAAAACAAACAAACACGCAAAACAATTAATATTTTGAACACACTACACTTAGTAAATATTATGTTTATTTTCCCTGTCCATTTTTCGATTAATACAAAAAAAAAAAAAAAAAAATCGGGGAGGGGGGGGGGGAGGGGCAGACTTCCCCTTTTGCTCCATCTTTCAGATCCGATTTTTTTTTTTTTTGGGGGGGGGGGGGAATCAGATATCTGTGAATCGAAAATTCAAAATGAAAAGCAATTTGTCGACTAGACAAGTAGCAGAAAATGTACATGTATATACTATAAGGGAGTTTACAGATACAATCTGCGCATGGGCAGATAAAGAAAGGTCATTTGTACCAAAATGGTAAAACCCACCAGAGATGAATACTGGATATGCGCTCATGAAAGTTATGTAACATTATTCATTTATGCACCAACGGTACATTCTAAGATACGCAGGTGGAAGTATTCTTTTCAAGAGGGGAAACAAAAGGTATTCATGAAGCACATCTAGGACTATGGCTGTTATTATTCTAAGATGCTCAAAGTGGAACTTCTCCATGTGTAAAAGATCTGTGGATATTTGGGGTCATTTGTACCATGTGCACATTCGCAGCGCCATCTAGTGACACCAGTGTTAGATACATAATTGGGGGACTACTTGTCAAAAATATCTGCTGTGGCATTATTATATACTCTAAGAGAAAAGTGGGTTTAATCTGAAGTTTTCGTGGGAAAGATTTTAATAGCTTATTTGGGGTTTACAGAAAGTTGCGCCGATTCCCAAAATATCAGTCTTATCGACCCTTCTCTCAACGTTTTGGTCATTTCGCCACTTTTTGACCTGAATGTCCATTATGGTCACATTTGGTTGAGGGGATAACTATTAATTATCTTGGTCGATCCGCGAGCACAGAAATAATTGTTTTAAAATATTTTCAGTTATGAGCCTGCGGGCTGTAAAATGTCCTGTTGCGGCTTGCCGGTGGCAGCGCTGTTAATAATAAATCCACCCTATTGGTGATATATTATAATCAATACCGAGCAACAGCTGCCATGGAAAGTGTGTTTACAAAAGATTTATGTGAATAATATGGCCTGATACGTTATGAACTTATCAGGTTCCAGCTGCTCGTTTTAGCAGAATATTATATTAGGTATGTTAACATAACTCACAATCAGTGTATTAGGTACTTACAACATGGACCTGTTAAGTTCATGCTTACAACGAGCTTGTAACCGAGGTGATAACACCTTATAGAGACTCATTGACGTAATTAATTAATTCTAATCGGAAAGTCTCTTTTCGTTTGGTGTTCTAACGAGGAAAATTATATGCGAAATATCACTTATAAACCGGTCTGATCAGATTTGAACTTTCATCTATCATCGTCGTGGTCAGAGGTGCGTGTTTCAAGCTCGATTGGTATGTATTTGTAATAACTACACAGTTTTTAAGCAGATAAACATACACATACATACACACGCACACGCACGCACACCCACACACACCCCCACACACACACACGTACGCCCTCTCAAACACATCCACTGCACCCGCACACACAATACATTCATAAACTCAAAGATTGTCTGAACACATTTTCATTTTAAATTTCACTACACCTTAAGATTCTTTTATAAATGTAATGCTTCCTGGGAGAAATTTCAATAGTT